AAAAAAAAAAAAAAAAAAAAACGAAGTTAGGTCCCTGTTTACAGCCCATAGTCTACATGCTCTGTCTTTTCCTGTCGGATTAATTGGTATCTTTATTTCAGCTGACAATGAGGGCGTTCTTTTTTTATAATTTCACAAAATGATAAAGCTCACTCAGTAAACGGAAAAGAAAAAACTGTCGCGTGCCGCAATGTGAATTTGTTCCACCTGGCGTCCTGTGTAGAAATGATGAATGACTTGTTGTTCAATTGCTGTGTTTCCGCACGTAACCAAGAGAAACTAATTCATGATGTCAATCGTGGAAGAGAATTGTATTTAATAATTTGTGTACTTTTATCTGAACTGACAGCGAGGTGGAATCAACAAGAAAAAGGAGAGAGGATTTCCTATTCACAAGGCTACATAATTGCACTTGCTTGACAGATTTGTTCGCGGAACGTTTTAAAGGTGGTTGGTATGTTTGTATAGTTTATGTTTGTAAGCACTGACGTTTAAAAAAAATTACGGCAAACCGTTAGAAAGGACATAGAACGAGACGAGACTCAGGCTTATCGTGTATGGGAACATGTAACTTCTACGTCTTTTTAGCTTTCTGCACTTTTATTGAATTGCAATCTTTCATCGTGCTAGAGATATTAATTTAATTCCCCGTACACCTATGGAAAACTTACAAAGGGGAATGTTTGAAGAGGCTTACTGATATCTGCTATTACTGCGTAGTTTTACTGATAGTCCGCTACAGAAACTACAGACACCGCCTTGTCATATTTTTTTCTGGTCACCTTTCGCAGCTTTGTCTTCTTTATATTCGAAGGGTTCACCTGCAGGTCTGCTGTTATCACTCGAAGCCAGGATTAGATTAATTGTTGTTCATTAATTAAGTTATCGCAGTTCTAAGGACTACATGTGCGCGCTTTGAGTCGCTCCGCTGGATTAAAAAAAGATATCAACCCGGCGCAATAAATATGTTATTGCACATTAGGGCATTATCGCAAAAAACAAAAAAAAAGGTGGGAGAGATTAATGGACACTTTATGAAGAACATTTGGCTGTTAATCTAGACTTTCTTTTAAGTATTGTTTAAACTTTTGGCACCACTTGTGAACGTTATTTTGTAAGGAGAGGAAGCTCCGGTTGTGAAACTGAAGGGGGGGGGCGTTGATTTATTTTGACGATAATGTATGCATGTACAGATGTAAGTATCGTGGTCGTAGCAGTGAAAATGTGCGTGTAATAATATATTGCACAGGAAAATTGTGTTTTACGCATGTGGATATGTGTCCGCTCACCTTAAATGTGCGTACATTTGTACCTATTGTAGGAAAAGAATACTCTCTCTCTCTCTCTCTCTCTCTCTCTCTCTCTCTCTGCAACCATTAAGTGCAATCTTTTCAGAAAAAAGCTTCATCACCATGTTGTTTGTCATCTTAATTAAAAATTCTGTCATTTTTAGTCAAACCAATCAAGTACTCTTCTCGTTTGCGTCAATTGAGTAAAATTCTCAGGGCTAACTCTAAAAATGTTGTTTACAAAATGGAAGATCGCGCATTACCAAGAAAACATTTCTCAAATTGGATGGTTGGTGCATTACCAGAAATGTTTATTCCAAGAACAAACTTTTTCTGAGGACAACAAGAGGTTTAAGCCTTGCCAGGAGGAGTAGATAAAAGGCAATAGCTTCCACTGATATTACAGATACTGTAACGAGCTCAGAACAACTTTCAGGGCAAACAGAAAACAGGTGCGCTGTAACCAAATGAGTTTAATAAGAACGCAAGATTTAACTAGGGACGTAAGGTAATTTAAGGTATTAGAATAGGTTCATGTTCCACTAGGACACCCTTTCCTTGGGGAAGTTTTTATTCGATTATCGTCAGTCAGTTAAATGTTAACAAGAATGTCATTTTATTTATTTATTTATTTATTTATTTATTTATTTATTTGTCAGGTGCCTACAGATCAAGTGTGTTGATATTTATAGGTTTAGTCTGGGAATTTATGGATTCATAAGATATCATTTGTATTATACTGTTGGGCTTTTTGTCTAAAGTCAACTAACTACATCTTAAGTTCATCTGACAGAAAAAAAATATTTTTTGGGGGTTTACTTACGTAAGAAATATGTTATGCACTTTTATACTTTATTTTTTACTGAGTGCAAATTATGTTACCTGATAATCCAGTCATAATCTCAGTTAAATGCTCTGTTTTCTATTCTGTTGAAAAGGTTTGCTTTGCACATTTCAAATTTTTCAAAATATTGTATTTAGTAACTAGGGAGTATTTGTATGCTTTATTTGTCTGTCTTTCACAGACAGCATGGGAAGCTTCATTGATATCTGGACAGCAAAAATTCGAGGAACAAAATATTTTTCAGAACATGTTTTCTTTGCACAAACCAAAAGTAATCATTGTCCGTTACCAGGGCAACCACTTTATAACAGTAAACAGTTTATTTTTTGGACTGAAAGCACACGTGGTTGCTTGCTGGATACACCTTCAATGTTTGTGTAAATTAAGGTCGGAGCATAGAATCCTAAGTCAACACTTTGTCAAAGAGCTTGGACACAGCCAAAACAGTTTCGGGATTTAAGCACTTCACTCCAAAGAAAATGTTTTAGTATGAAAGGGCAACGAGCAGTTTAAGGTTTCGGCATACATACTTTACGATTTGATAAAACAGAGCTTGAAAATCGGGGCAAAATATATTTTTTCATCTGTTGCGAGATTTCAGCGCTCTCGGCATTCGCTTATATCCCAGATAACCATTTGGACTTTAGATCTGTGCATTTTCTATTTCAAAACCAATAATATAAAGTAACCATGAGTATTGCGATGTTTAACCGTTATTTTCCCTCTTTTTCAGCCACTTGCCTCATAGTTGAGTGAATGATCACAAGTTACTTTTACCACGGTATTACAATGTCTGGACTAACGGTATATCTTCTCACGGCACTGTTCCTAGGGATGCTGCACACGTGTACCGGACAAGGTGAGACATTTCTATCTTAAACTGTGCAAAAAGGTGAAGAGTGATTCTTTTTTTCTTGCCTACTTGTCTTAAATAGAGTTACATTAGAACCAAGACGTGTTATTGCTGATAAATGTCGTTGCTCTCATTTTCACTCCCATCGTTGCATTGTATTCTTATACACACGCACAAGCATGCGCGCACACTCACATACACGCCAGCTGGCACACGCATAGGCATAGGCCTACCATATTGAAATTACTACCCTAGGGACTTACAACGTAAACAGTGATATTAATGCAGTTGTCAGTTTTGACTTCTTAAGTGAATCCGTCACTGATATTTCAATTACAAATACACTGATGAAGATAGTGTCATAATTGAGATATCATGTCGTACAGATGAACTAATTTCTTTCACCTATCAGTCTTAAACGACACCTTAAAATACACCGATTTAAGGTCACGTTTTTTTAATGCAAGCACCAAAAAAAAAAAAAATAATAATAATAACACATCTAGATTGGCAGCTGCTCTAACTCCCTTTGGTGCTTATTGCGAAAGAGAGTATCCACAGATAAGAAAAGACACGAGAAAGCTTTTAGAGAAGTTTTAAGGTGAAGAGCCTTCAGCACACCTCTTTCAGACGTGTTATCTGGTCATCTGGCTTATTTCCACCGCGTCGGCGTCGGGAGGGGCGCAAGGCTTATGAGAGGTTTTTAAAACAACAGTATGCCCCTCATCCCTACCCAAACTACTTGCAAAAAATAACTGTCCTGATCTCTCCTTTGATCCTGGAGAGACGGGTGTACCCTGAATGTAAAGGTGCGATTCACGTAATGCCTTGACTCGCCTTGGCGGAGGGGACATGTCATCCCCCTCTTCTCCAAAATAATAAAAAATAGTATATCATATTTTCGCTTTGGTTTTGTCCTCGAGTGAATAGGAAAATAAAACAAAAATAAAAAAATAATAATAATCGAAAAAAATACAATAGAGAGAAGTGCTAATCCAGTACGTATCTTGCTGTGAAATACAGGCTGTTTGATGTATGATTTCCATACATCATTTTCAGTTTATCCTTATGTTAGCTACCGGATATTTCGTTCCAGTATTTATTGTCTATTAATAACATTCGGTTATAAATGATGTCTGCGTTTATCAAAGGTAAGAGTGTATAAGTAGTGGTCCTTTTGATCGTTTGGTAATTTACTGTTCAGTTGAGTTAGTCTGATGATTACTTGCGCAATTTCGCTCTCCAGTTTCATCCATTATCTTTCTTTATTTCTCATTTGTTGTTTACCATTTCATCTTCTCAGTCTTTCTTTTTTGGGTTTCATTACAAGTAATTAACTATAGTCTTGCCACTTAAGTCTTGAAGCGGATCTGCATGTTATGGTTGAAACGAATTGGACATATATGAATTAAAAAGAAATAGTATGGGCTGCAGCTATTTCGATTGAGAAAGTCGGCTCAACAAGTAGGCTTCAAAATAGACGAGGAGTAAAATAAAAAATTAATTAATTCTGCAAGAGCTATAGTGAGTAAGACAACAAGATTTCTATGAATGAAAAAGCTGAATCCAAAAAAGGCTCATGAGGGACCGTGCCTGTTAAACTGAATGGAAGACAAGAAGAATTCGAAACACACAGAAAAGCACACGTGGTAAACTGTGGTAGCACACCGGAGTGGGTTCAAACCTAAATATTTGGATCTGGTTGAAAGATCTTGAAATGTTGCGTGAAAAACATGCGTCCTCTTAATAAAATAACATGCACCCTTCCCTAAGGTCAGAGACAACATATTGCAGTATATTTTAAAAAGTTTTAGATTTAAGGCGCTTTTCGTGACTTTAGCCACTTACGGGGGCTACCAGATTGTCTTATGTCCTTAATAATAGACCAAGATTGCCCACTCATACGCGTTAGACGACTGACACTATTTTTTAACTCTGTTACGAAATGTTTACGTCTTAGCATCCGAACAAGGCTTTTTAGATAGAAAGATAGATGACTAGATGGGCATTCTAATAATAGCCTGCCTGAATATTTATAGACACTTATCTTACCGTTGCAGGAAAAATATAATCAAGATAAATATGAATGACGTTTAATTTTTCTTTGAGTCTACTGGTACGTCGGGAAGTCCTAATGTATTTTCAGATTATTCGTGAAATTTGTAAACATTTTAGCATGGCTGGTGCACTGGCATGTTTCTATAGGGGTGGGGGCTCATTCGAGGATGAAAATTTGAGATAGGCCTATATCAAGATTCTACTTTCTACTTTAATGTGATAAGACATAAGGATGGGATGATTTTGGTTTATCTTGTTTTTTTCTTTCTTCCTAATCTTCTTATTTATTTATTTGTTCGTTGGAAAGAGGGGATGGTGAAGAGAGACGGTTACGAAGCTTAGGTTGGCCGGCTGTCCCATCTCTTTCCGTGGGGTAAAGTTGCTGACGTAAAGTGATAACTAGCACATTTTTTCATATTTCACATTTTTCTTTTCTATGCTAGAATAAGGTTTCTGCGTGAAAGATAAAGATATTTTTAATAAAGAAAAAGAACAAAAAGTCAGTTTTGACCCCGACGTGATTTGAACACGCAACCTTCTGATCTGGAGTCAGACGCGCTACCGTTGCGCCACGGAGTCGTACTTGTTGGCGAGGGAGCTGTAACTAAACCCAGTATATAAGCAGCGAAGCTGGCCTACATTCTGTAAATCAATTATCAGTTGGATGCGCTGTATCTGCCTAGAGACAGGACAAATTGCTTATAACGTGCGACAGAGCAATAATCATAAATATTATCAAAATAGCACGCAGAAAATCAGGTACTGGAACGACATTGTTGAGACCAGATAGAGAATGCTGACGAAACAGGACTTTGTTATCAAAAATATTTTCACGGTTTCTTCTCCGCGTGGGTCTAACAGGGGGAAATAACCAGTAAATATTATTTTATTGTTTCCATTTTATCGTTGTGTGGTGTAATTTTCTTTTTATTTGGGTCTTGATTTCGCAAATAGGAATGCTGAAACTATAAATAACATTGGATGATACGTGATAGGTAAATCAGGCTGTACATCCTGTAGATATATATATATATAGAGAGAGAGAGAGGCTTATAGTACAGTAGGCCTACTCTTCTACTACGATCTACTAAACAGTATTACTAGTACTTTCTTATATGCATGTAAATACATCAATAAAGACACATACGCACTAAGTCTACAACTGCCTTATATATGTGCACGAAGAAAACATAAATTTCATAATCAATTTTGTCTCTGCATTTTGCGTAATGCATGCGTGGGTGCATGTTTTTTCTTTTCTATTTTCGCTGTAATGAGTAGTTAAGTCACATAATATTCTGCGTATTCTCAAATCGAAAAAAAAAGCCCCATCTAACAACAGAGCAAAAGCTTGTTTAAAATTTTAATTAAAGAGAGACCGAAAGCTTCATCATTTTTATTTTCATTTATTTTTTCCTTAATCTTTTATTTTATTTATTTTTTTTTTTCGGGGAGGGGGGGGGGGGTAAATGGATATAAACAAGTTGTGCATGTGTGTGCGTGCCTGCGGTCGTGTGTGTGTGTGTGTGTGTGTGTGTCAGAGTGGAGGTATCGCACAGCTAATTTATTCTGATCATAACCAGTTCTTTAATAACCGTCCAGCAGTCTAGCATTCCAAGCGGACTGAGTTTTCAACGGCTGTCGTGAGCTTCATAAATGGCTGTTTTAATACAGCCGCTACCAGAGCTATGCGAGCACGACACAAATACATCAACAACGATGGGTCACTACGGCCGATTCCCCCTTTGACAGAAGACAGTGTTTTTAATGGCCTAGCACTATTCATATGACTGAAGATCAGGATAGCGTTAACATGATAATCTACTTTTAAGTCGCGTTCTATTGTCGCTGGATCCCTGGTATTAAATAGATAATGGTAGTTGGGTTGATATTTTTTTTACTGAGTCACGGAATTAAGTAGAGCATACAAATCCTGACAAAACGTTTGCGCTTGAATCAACATATGACTTTGTTTATTAATCTTCATCTTTTGTCATGCAGTAATAACCCTTGCATGTATAATCAAGGATAGTGTGACTTGGTATCAATAGAAATTAAACCATTTAAATAAATGCTACACTTTTAGGCGTAAATGTTCTCTTTATGAAGCTCGGGTCCAGCACAAAAGACTCTATGGCCCACCAACATCGAAAATGCAGCATGAGAACCAAAACGATATCATGCACATTAGGCCTTCATATGGCAAGACAAAATACAACAATGTCCCTCTTTATCAACAAGCTACCGCTATATAGTTTACTATTGAAATAAGTTATTGGAACCTCGTATCTTCAAAAGAGGTCATTAGACTAACAACAGTTTTTGGATATATATATATATATATATATATATATATACATACACACACACACACACACACACACACACACACACACCTGTAGTGTAGGCCCACCACAATCTCAGGAAAGTTATTATTATTATTATTAATATTATTATTATTGCTACGTGATGGGCTAACGCTCATTTTGTGCTTTTATAACAATAACAAAACAATTTTTGAGATCAATTTTCTAAAAGGAAATATTTCCTTTATTTATTCCAGGAGCCATCTCATTCATAGGTACGCCATATTTTGCCCGAGTGTACCCAGGAGCGCCTGCGGGAACCCACGTGATCACCGTAACAGCAGTGCCATCTAGCGGCATCACAACTGGGCAACCGATACGCTACTATATTTCGAATAACGCTAACAAATATTTCTCTATAGACCATACCAGTGGAAAAATCGAGGTGAAGAAATCATACTCTACTTCAAAGGGACAGCAGTTCATTTTCGATGTAATTGCCAGACAAGGATCAAAGATAGGACAGACAAGAGTTTCTGTAGAGATATCAGAAGAGAATAAATACCCCCCAGTTTTTTCTCGTCCGTCTTACAACACTGTCGTATGGCGACGAAGTAGCGTCGGAACAACGATTCTAATCGTCAGTACGTCGGACAATGATACGGCGCCGTACAACCGACTCGTAAGGTATAGCGTCAATGCGACAAGCAGTGACTCTTCATATTTTTCGATCGACCCCAGAAGCGGAAAGGTTAATCTCAGACAGCAGCTGCCGCAGGCACAAAGTGTGACACAAATAGAGGCCTCTATAGTCGCTACAGACCCAGGTGTGCCTGAAATGACAGCTTCTGTAACGCTGTCAGTGAATATTTCTTTAATATCAGGTAGGTGCTTAACTTGAAAGTGGATAAGCACAAAAGCTTTCTTCTCGATACTAATTGTTTTTGTGTTTTTGTGATAGCACCAAATTGCAGCTGTTAGCCCACTTTTTCATCGAACAGAAATTAGAATTGCCTTTCATCAATTGTTTGTTGCAGATAATTAATTGGAGATTCCTTTTCTACTGTAAACCATGAGAAAAGTCTGCCTCAAACAAGTATAGCCTACTAATTTGTGTAATTCATTTTCCTCATGTATTTATTCCTCAGAACCAACACAACTGGAAACAAAATTTTCAAATGAGACAACAGTATTGTTGTGTTGGCGCGAGCCAGCGCATGGTTCACAAATCAAAGGCTATCTGGTGGAATATTGGCCAATTGACAGCTACGATGCCAGGAGGTCTGAGACTGTAAGGGCGGACAAATTTTCCTCTCTCTACTGCACGACGGTGGGAAATCTGACATCTTGGGACGTGTACCATTTTCAAGTATCAGCATATAACGATGATGGCTACGGTGTTCCAAGTGTGATTCCAAATGTTCCGACTGTTCCACGAGGTGGTACGTAATTTACCGAAGTTTGATTGTTTGGTGAACTTTCATGTGTCCAACCTGTTATTATGGTTTTTGAATTTTACTACTTTTACAAATTTGCGCAAACATATATATATATATATCAGGGGCGGATCCAGAGATATTTTCTGACAGTCTTCCAAATAATCTTTGTTAATTCGTCCTCAATTTTTGACCGTCTTCCGACAGAAAATATTACATACCCGTAAATGTAAACTTAAAAATCTGACCGTCTTCCGGAAGACCTAGAAGACGGCCTAAATCCGCCCCTGTATATATATATATATATATATATATATATATATATATATATATAAAGGGTTTACTAAACTAGGGCCTATATTGGTTATTGCTTCAAATTGACCAACGATAATAAGTACTAGTAATGTTTCTTTTTTCAAACGTTGTAGTAGGCCTACATGTGAATTAATCAATAATACCAGTTTAACAGTATAGCTCTGAGCAACAATACAACTACATATAGATGTTTTTCCTCAAATGAAACTTCACCTCTTATTTGTTAAATTTCCTTTTTTTGCCAGTGTGTGGCCTCAAGCCCTGTCGTAACGAGGGTACCTGCGTCCCTATCAGACAGCGTCCGGGATTCAAATGCCAATGCAAAGAAGGTTATTATGGGAGGATTTGCGAAAGGAAAACAGCATGTGCCTCACAGCCTTGTCTAAATAACGGCCAATGTGTCCCTTTGAACTTGCGAGGGCCGACTTTGGGCGCTTCTATTACGGCAGCTTTTATCCTTTCATACAGATGCCGATGTCCGCCCGGGACGTCCGGCAAAAACTGTGAACACGTAGATGCATGTTTTTCTAATCCCTGCCAAAACCTTGGCTCTTGTATAAATCTGAAAAGCAACAACTCCTATGCATGTCGTTGCTTACCTATGAACTATGGTACAAACTGTGAGTTGTCAAATCACTGTCATTCCTCGCCTTGTAAAAATTCCGGAACTTGTCGGAATTTATCGAATTCGCCAAAACCCGATGGCTATTCTTGCGATTGCTTGCCAGGCTACTCTGGTTCTGAGTGTGAACTCTTTGATCCTTGTTTTAGTTCCCCTTGCTTGCACAAAGGTAGCTGCACTCCTCTAGGCGACAGATTTTCATGCACTTGTCCTCCTGGTAAGATGCACATACAGTACCGTCATTATTTGCCGATACAATGCACACGACATTTTGAAATGAGGAAGAGTGTGACACAACTGGAGCAAAACGTGATGCTTGTTTTTGTTGATAATGGCGTTACTGTAGTTAAAACTTTGCACTTGACTGAAGCTTATTTAAACGCGTTTCTCTTCACTATGCCTATTTATAATGTTAGATATTAAATAGATGCACCTGATTAGTATTTGTTCTCTGATGGCAATTCTGTTATGACATGCACTGCTTAAATACTCTCTTTACCCTCGACGCTTTTCTTTTCGTTTTAGATTTTGATTTAAGTTTCAAGTTGTGTGTGAACTCTCTAAATCCGCACAGACCATTTCACTAGTATATCAGACATTTACAGTCGAAGCATTTTCAGCATAATCAATTGTTCAATAATTGCCACGCTGATGAAATGTTATTGTTTATTTGCAGGGTACTACAACGACACGTGTGAACTTATAAACGCTTGCGAATTGCACACTCCGTGCAAGAACAATGCCACGTGTGTGCACACAGACACGGTGGGTGACTACATGTGCACTTGCGCGCCGGGCTGGACGGGGTTTAACTGCACGGACTACAACGCGTGCCTACTTTCTCCGTGCGCAAACAATGCCACATGCGTTCAAACTGATGGCGGGGCCTCCTTTCAGTGCAATTGCCTCACTGGTTACTATGGCGACACGTGCCAATCGTTCAACCCCTGCGTGTCGTCCCCTTGCTTCGGGAACGCCACGTGTCTGAATACGACATCCGACACTTTCCAGTGTCAGTGCCCCGATGGGTACTATGGGAAAATATGCGACCAAACTTATAACAAGTGTGTTGGGAACACTTGTGAGAATATGAATTGTACAATTGACAGTGGCAGGACCGAAGTCTGTTCCTGCACAGAGAACTACTTCGGTAACAACTGCCAGTACTTCGACTACTGCTCAAAGAATCCTTGCGAAAATAACGGCACTTGCCAAACCGAAAATGCGACATACAAATGCACGTGTATTGATGGTTACTATGGTAACCATTGCCAATTCCGCAACCCCTGTGTGATCAGAGGCTGTCTTAATGGCGGAAAATGCGAGAACGTGTCCCTAACTGATTTTATCTGCCACTGCCGAGACGGTTACAGCGGTGAGAACTGTGAGACTTATGACCCATGTGCTTCGTCACCCTGCCAAAATGGCGCCCTTTGCAACAGGAGCAGCGACACCAACTTCACGTGCATCTGTGGGACGGGATTCTACGGCGAACTGTGCGACCTTTTCGATCCATGTTCTTCGAATCCTTGCTCGGTCATGTCGACGTGTAATGCTACGTCGAACGAGAACTTTACCTGCGAGTGCTCTCACGGGTACTACGGGGAACGCTGCGACTTCTTCGACATTTGCAGCATCGATGGACTCTGCGAGAACGGGGGTACCTGTCGGAATGCGTCCATTAACAATACCTACACCTGTGACTGCCCTGCGGGATTTTGGGGTGAAGCTTGTGAAATGATAGACCCGTGCTTCACCGCCGACTGCAAAAACAACGCCACCTGTCGGGCGATCAATGAAACCAATTTTGAATGCGCATGCGCTGCTGGATATACTGGTGAGAGATGTGAAACTTTCGATATATGTAGCAACGCCTTATCAGTCGTGTGTTTTAACGGTGGTGTGTGCACTGCTAGAGCTAATAGTACTTTTGAATGCAAGTGCGGTGCTGGTTTTTCAGGCAACCGGTGTCAGAATTATAATTTTTGTAGCTCGAGTGTGTGCCAAAATGGTGGAAGTTGTGTGCTTTATAACGTAACTGCGACCCTTCCACTTAATGCAAGTCTTCAATCAGTGATTGATTATGATGATGAAGAAGCATTTATAGTTAATTCATATAAATGCGCTTGTATTGATCCATATACCGGTCCCAATTGTGAGACAAACCTTGGTCATTGCTTCTCCCATCCCTGCAAATATAATTCAACTTGTATGAACTTGCCTGGTGGTTATAAATGTTTTTGCTTGCCTGGGTATTCTGGGATCAATTGTGAAGACGAATTGAACAAATGTTTCTCAAGTCCATGTAAAAATGGCGCCACTTGCGTTGATCTCGTAGACTCCTACTCCTGCATCTGCCCGTCGCACCTAACTGGAACTCACTGTGAACATATGATAATCTCAGCAAATTTGACGGAAATCGAACCCAATGATAATGCTACCATTATAAACCCTTGTGATTCTAACCCCTGTCTGAATAACGGCGCATGTGTACCCGGAAACCAAAATCACACATACACCTGCACATGCCCGCTTCATTTCACTGGAAGAGCATGCGAAGAGATGGCGAAACCCAATAACGCTAGTACTAACGTCACAGAATGCGAGCCTTGCAAGAACAATGCTTCATGTTTAATGACAGCAGACGGAGGCATAAATTGCGTATGTTCTGCTAATTTTACAGGCGAGAACTGCGAGACGAAGATACCCGAAGTTGTCGATCCGTGCGACGATTTGCCATGTTTGAATAATGGTACATGTACGGCAAAAGACACTGAACTGTATACTTGCGAGTGTCTAGAACTTTATACAGGGGAAAACTGTGAGCTCAAATTTGTTGAAGACGAATTTACAAACCAAACCCAGAACGTTTCATCAACATTGTGTGCCTCAAATCCCTGTAAGAACTCTGGATCGTGCCAAGAGGGGGATTCCAGTTACGTTTGTGTTTGCATGCCCCCTTTTATAGGAACGGACTGTGAAAACACGACTTTTACCGCCAATGGTACTGCTAACACGCGTAACGCCACCAAAACCTGTGACTCAAACCCTTGTAAAAACAATGCCACGTGTGTGCAAGAAAACGGTAGCTTCACATGCGAGTGCAGTAAAAACTATGTCGGTGTGCTGTGTGAGACATTTGTAGTGGGCGACGACACAAATAGAACCCAAACTAACGTGAGTGGCCTGTGTGATACAAATCCCTGTATGAACAATGGCTCGTGTCTGGAGAGAGAGGGTGAAATCATTTGTGTCTGCACCTCTGGATTCCGTGGTAAAACGTGCGACACTCCTCTTTCAAATAACAACGCCACTGATCCCAATAGTGCCTTGCAATGTGAAACGAACCCCTGTTGGAATGGAGGCACCTGTTTCCAGCTAAACCAGAATTTTAGATGCGATTGTGCGGATGGATTTGCAGGGAAATTTTGCGACATACGTATGCCAACTCAAAACGAAACTAAGTCCAGCTGTTATCCAAGCCCATGTCATAATAACGGAACGTGTGTGGAAACCGGAATCACTTTCCGTTGCCACTGCCCAAGAGGATTTGCAGGTCGTCATTGTGAACTCGCAAATGCTAACGGTTCTGCGGCCTGTGACTCACTGCCTTGTATGAACAATGGAACGTGTACAACAACCGACAGTGGTTTTCAATGCCTTTGCCAAGAAGGCTTCACGGGAGAACGTTGTGAAGGTGAGAATGTGACTACTCCATGTTATTCCGGATATTGTCTAAATGGCGGAACCTGTTCGAATAACGGAACGGACGCACAATGCGAGTGTTTTTCAAATTATACAGGGCCTCGTTGCGAGTTATCAAGAGTCAACGCATGCGCGTCAAACCCTTGCCATCGGGCGGCCACCTGCTTAGAGGATGGGGCAATGGGATACACGTGTATTTGCGCACCTGGTAAGACAGGGAGGAATTGTCATCGTAACATTGACTCCTGTTCTTCTAGCCCCTGCAAACATGCTGGCACGTGTGTAATAGACCCTTCTAACGAGACGTTCAGTTGCATTTGCCAACGGGGTTATAGTGGTGCATTGTGCGAAGACAGATTAAATGATACACATGACGCATGCGCCGAACACACGTGCTTTAATAATGGAACTTGTACAGTATTGCCTAATGGTCCGGTGTGTCATTGCCTACCAGATTTCACCGGAGAAGATTGCCAAATGCTCACCAACCCATGTGCATCCAGCCCGTGTGTTGGAAATTCTGTTTGTGAAATAGTAGAAGACAGCTACCGATGCTTATGTACAGATGACTCCACGGACCCCCTTTGTCGTGAAAATGAGAACCCTTGCTCATCCAGCCCTTGTCTCCATGGGGCCACGTGCAGCGTCCATAACAACAACACGTTCAAATGCATCTGCGCAGAGGGTTTCCAAGGACTCCATTGCGATACTGAAACCGATCCTTGCTCACCATCCCCTTGTGTGAATAATGCTAGTTGTGTTAGAGTAGACAATATGACCACTGCTTTTAATTGTCAGTGCCAGCCAGGCTATGGTGGCGACCTCTGCCAAGATGAGCTAGATGAGTGCCTTTCCAACCCGTGTGTCAATAATGCTACATGTGTTGACGAGGTTGGCGGGTATGGGTGTCAGTGTCCCCCGGGGTATACAGGTATTTGCCTTTGTTTTGTGATTTTTGTCGTTGCTTGAGCAACTCTGATTTTCAGATGACTGACGGCGATTCAGCTTCACTTTTAAAAGTTCTCGAAATGAACTTCTAAAAGACTTAAGAATTCTTCAAGTGTTAGAGTGGTCTACCTGTGAGGTAGACGAGACGTGCTTGTAACGTGGAAAAATTAATTCAGAAGCAACCTAAATATGACATCGAGTTGTCTCTGAATAATACAAGGCTCATATGTTCCGGTGGCTGTGCTTTGTACCCATCCACTGCAAAAATAGGCCCACTATATATTGGGCATGGTTGCCGTCAGTTATCTAAAACTCAGACTGAATATAAGTTTACTTGTTTATTTATTTTTGTTTGTTTGCTAGGGACGTTTAGCATAGTTAGATTATTGAATTGTGCATGCTTGTCCTCAGTATTCTGGCGCTGTTTTATGCGCTTTGAATATATTGCTGTCTGTCAAATACAAAGCATGAAGATACGTTTTTGAATAAGGGTTGCATGAAAGCGTGGTAACAGCTGGTAGAAAAATACAAACATGCAGGTTTGCGTTATATTTGTTTCCAGTGCACGTTTGTAGTGTCACAGCGGGTATATAGTGTGATTTTAAAGTATATAAAAACTCCAGTCCTCCAGTCCAGTCCTTGTTAATTTCTATTTTTTAAAATTGCCGTAGTAGAATTTTAATTTTAATAAAAATACGAAGTCGCTATTACATGCATGTGCTTGTGTATTAATCTGAAAAATCTCCAATAGGTGAAAAGTGTGAAAGCATCGTTGATTTATGTGCCTCCAACCCGTGCAGCGAAACGAGCCGGCGATGCACCCCGTCTCTCAATAACTACACGTGCGACTGCATGGCAGGTTTTGCTGGACCAGACTGCGCGGTTAACATTGACGAGTGTGCCTCCTCCCCCTGCCACCCCGACCACTCCACGTATTGTAAGGACGGGGTGAATGCGTACCTTTGTGAATGCAAGGCTGGATTCACCGGTATGCTTTGAGAATTCGTAGATATAAACATGTTAGACATTATATAATATTTTTAGAAGCTTTGTTCCTACTAACTCAAACATTTTTTTCTTTTTGTTTATTTGTTGGCTCTTTGCATGGAAAAGTTCTAGACGTTGCATGAAAAGGCATGTTTCAGAATAGTCACATCGAAAGCTCTGAATGAAAAGTGGCCATGTTTGTTTACGTTCAGTGTAGTTTCAAACATAGGCAGCATGTGCAGAATAATCTGAGCCTCAGGTTTATCTGTATAGGACATAGTTCGTACATTTGCCTACATACAAGACGGTCCCTGTGGCCCAAATGGACAACGTAAGGTTATTCCAAACAGAAGAGTTCGTGTGATAAAAATTATTAAAAAAGACACACATTCAAACTTTTTTTTACTCTGTATCCCTCTTAATCAGTTCTTAATCTTAGATCTTACAAACAATTTACCTATTATACTTTAGAATTAATGCAGGTAGCACTCATTTTTCTTTCCATCAGGTGCAAATTGTGAAATAGATCTTGACGAGTGTCGTTCGGATCCCTGTCAAAATGGCGGCAGTTGCGATGACGGTCCTAGCGGTTACACCTGTAGCTGTCAACCTGGATACAGCGGGGTACATTGTCAGATTGCCGGTGAGTGAAGCAAAGGAAAAACTCATCGTCAGTTCACCACTGAGCGTGGTCCCGTTTTACTAAAGAACTAAAGTTGATAGTTGGTTCGATCCTTAAGATTTATGTATTTAGCATTTTTGTAGTCTTTTAAAATACATTTGTAGTCTTTTAAAATGCGAATGTTTTTCATACAACGGTAACTAATGCTTTAGAGTACTCGGGTACATGTAAGTGAGGGTATTTCTGGATCAAACTAAGTTTTATGTTTCGATCTTCATTTTAAGTCCAACTTTTCTATGTTTCTTCGTTTTTATGTGCAAGCGACATTTTCATTCTTACTTTAGTGGGGTAGCATAAATCATACCCTATAGCCCAAAACCAGTGAGAGAATCCTGTTAGAATTTGTAATAGTTCTTCTTTTTGTACTCAGTAGTTTGTACTTACTTCTCTTTGGTCATTAATACAGTACAAGAAGCCTTGACGCTCTCAGTGATACCTCTCTTTTTCATCTTCAAACTTCCTGTTTCTTTTCCCAGCAACATGCCAGAATGAGACTTTGATCAACTCAAAGGGCAAATTCGTATGGCCGAAATCACGTCACTCTCAGGGTGTGGTCAGCATCGAATGTCCTTACGGGTCTCCTGGAAACGGACAAGCAACACGCCGCTGCTCAGTTGATTCCTCAGGCATGGCGCGCTGGGAAACCCCACAGCTTGAACAGTGCAATGAGGTTTGTTTTAATTTTTTTAATTTTTAAATTTATTTTTAGAGGTGATTTATGTTCTGGTGAGGTATCCTTCAACCGTTTCCCTTCTCAAATATCAAATCCTTATTTCCAACTTTAATTTTAGTCATTGCATATGTTGCTTTTGTAGCCGAGTCACTTTTCATCAAAAATCCTTTGGGAATGTCTTACAGACCATTTCTTTAAATTTTGTAATGCGGTTTTACAGTGTGGTATTTCGACGCACGCACACATACAAACACAAGCCAAACTTCACAAACTTTTTACTATAATATCTATTGTCCAGCTTGGACCTTCGGGAGCTAGAGAAGTAGCCACCAAGACAGTGAACGCCACGTCCGTTCCGGAGAACCTAGCTCCAGAGAAAGTCTCCAGTGTGGCAGACGAGATGCAGATTGTGGTGGATTATGCCACTGTAGACATGGAAGTAAGGGGTGGTTGTTTTAATATCTTATATAATATTTAATATAATATTCATATATTATAATATGACAACTTGTATGTGCCGTCAGACACGTGTTATTTCCCTGGGCGACAGGACGGAAAAGGAGGGGGGTAATCACCTGTAAATAAAAAATCTCTTGTGTTGTTTTATTCTTGCTCAATTATTGGGCTTTCTTTTGCGTGGAGTTTATTGTTGTTTCTCGAGGACAAGGATTCCTTCTTATAATCAACCAACAATTTCAGATGGAGTAAGGCGCACCGATGATTAAAAATTGAAAATCTTTGAAGCAAAAAATGCAGTGATTTATTTTAATTAAAATCTGAAATTTGTTCAAAAAATACAGAATTAAAATTGGCCGATCGAGATAAAAAATGTATTTATTGGAAGAATAAAATGCATGAGACATGATACAAATTTATCAGCTTACTACTTATCTCGGATATTTTTTCTGTCAAACAGATTGCTAAGAACATGTTAACCACCATCAGTAACGTTATGGACGCAGACGAGGAGGTTTTGCACGAGAGCAACGACCAATCGCACGCTGCAGAAAGGTAAGCCATCTATTGTTACTTGTAGAGCTTCATGTAAGCCCCCCCCCCCCCCCCCCCACCTCACCCCCCATTTGTGGTGGGCCTCTGCAAAGTGTGATACGAAGACGTGCTCGTAAAATGTCTTGGTTGGCCATTTTCACGTTAACGTACACGCCACAGGAAGGACAGTTTAAGGCTTCTCCCTTTAGACTGAAATCCATATAAACAGCAGTATTTGTAAGTTGCTCATATACATCGTACAATGCTGTCAGTGAAATCCATTGTTGTAAACATCAATACTTTTTAAAAGTTTATGTTTATTCCCATTGCTTCAGATTGCTCCAAGTTCTCGAGCACTTTACAGAGAGCGTCAACCTTACCTCTGTAAGTAAAATACAGCTTGAGTCCAGCAACATTGCCGTAGAGGCCATGGAAGTCCCTCTTCCAAACAGACGGGGTCCAGAGAATTCTGAAGAAAAAAATACAACACATGGTGGAGTCAAAACACAATGGGTATAGTATAAAATGCATTTCTCTTCTTGCCTACGGTGCAGTCAAACTGGTGTACATATACATGTATATAGGCCGTAGAAGATTTAATGATTTTTTTTCCTAATTTGCCATGAGTGTCGGTGGTCAGTAAGGTAAAGCGATAAATCGCGTTTTAAATAAATGGTCGAGGTCGAGTTTTTTTTTTTTTTTTTTTTGACTTTTT